GTAGTTTGATAACTCATTTCTTTTTATTGCTGAATTGTACTCCATTGTGTAGATGTATCACAGTTTGTTTATTCCTTCACCTATTAAAGGACAGTTTTTGGGAAATTTTTAATAAAGCCGCTATAAACATTCATGTGCAGGTTTTTGAGTGGACATAAGTTTTCAACCCATCCGGATAAATACCTAGGAGCAAAATGCTATGTTCAGCTTTGTATGAAGGTGCCAGACAGTTTTCCAAAGTGGCTATAGCATTTGCATTTCCACAGCAATGAACGATAGTTGGTGTAGGTCCACATCCTTGCCAGCATTTGGTGTTGTCAGTGTTTTGGATTTTAGCCATTCTAACAGATGTGTAGTGATATCTCATTGTTTTAGTTTGCAGTTCCCTAATGACATATGACATTGAGCATCTTTTTGTATGTTTATTTGCCATCTTTATATCTTCTTTGCTGAGGTGTCTATTCAGATCTTTTGCCTATTTTTAAATTGGGTATTTATTTTCATAGTTTTGAGTTTTAAGAACTTTTTTGAATATCTTGGATACAAGTTCTTTATCAGATACATGTTTTGCAAAATGTTTTCTTCCAGCCTGTGGCTTGTCTTTTTATCTCTTAACATTGTTTTTTGCAGCGCAGACATTTTTAATTTTATTGAAGTCCAGTTTATCAGTTTTTCCCTCTTTTGTATCTAAAAACTCATTGCTAAACCCAAGGTCACCTAGATGTTTTTTTTTTTTCATCTTCTAGAAGTTGTATAGTTTTGTATTTACCGTTTAGGTCTGTGATCCATTTTGAGTTAATTTTGCAAAAGCTGTAAGGTTTGTATCTAGGTTCCTTTTTTTTTGTCTTTGATGTCCAGTTGTTCCAGCACCCTTTGTTAGAAAGGACTATTCTTTCTTCGTTGAACTGCCTTTGCTCCTTTGTCACAGGTCAGTTGACTATATTTGTGTGGACCTATTTCTGGGCTTTCTATTCTGTTCCATCGTTCTATTTGTCTATTCTTTCAGCAGTACCACACTGTCTTGATCATTATAGCTTTATAGTAAGTCTTGAAGTCAGGTAGTGTCAATTCTCCAGCTTTGTTCTTCCTTAGTACTGTGTTGGCTATGCTAGGTCTTAGCCATATAAACTTTAGGATCAGTTTGTAGATATCCCACAAAATTCAGTGGGGTTGTATTGAATCTGTACATGTTGCTTTACATAGTCATCTTTGAATCCTCAGAACCTGCACTATAATGTGATGACTGACTGACTGATTGAATGAATATATTGTAAGACAAGTGGTGTGTTTTCTTCTTAACACTGACGAGATTTCTGTTCTTTATTACAGTTTCTTGAAATCTGGTTGTAAAACCACATAACTAGTATATATCCTTGGAAATATGTGTATATGTATAATCTTTTAACTCAGTTTATGTGCTTACTTGGTAAAAGTAAAAAGATGTCCCCAAATTGCTAGGTAAAGACTGATTTCTTGTATAGTCATTGTAACAGTCACTGGATCCAGTTTTAAATCTGCTTAATCAATAAATGGTGCCTTGGTGGCACAGTGGTTAAGAGCTCAGCTGCTATCCAAAAGGTCAGCAGTTCGAATCCACCAGCTGCTCCTTGGAAACCCTGTGGGACAGTTCTAATCTGTCCTATAGGGTCGATATTAGTCAGAATCGACTTGATGGCAGTGGGTTTGGTTTTTTTTTTTTTAAATCAATAAATGACAGTTATATAGAATTGATTTTAAACCAGTTTAATCATCAATCAACAATAACTTGCCTTAGTGCACACGATTTTGCAAGCCATCCAGTCAATGACAGCCCTTCGAGTAACCTTGCTTCTAAGCCTCTCAAAATCCACCAATCCCTGAATACCACATTTCCCTCTCAGAGTCCGTATAAGATCAGCGATGTGCTCTGCTCAGAGAGCCTGTGCCTGACCAGCGTAGCTTTTCCTAAGTAATAAATTTG